AACATAAGTAGACTAAATTTAGTACATATGGAAAATAAAAATTAGTGTATAAGTTTAGAACATAGAAAAAAATTTAGAACATAGGTAGAAAAACTTTAGAACATAAGCCGAAAAAAATTTGGAACATAGGAAAAATAAATTAGAATATAAGCAAAAAAAATTAGAACATGTGCAAAAAAAATTAGAACATGGGAAAAAAAAAATTAGAACATAGGACAAAAATTTAGAACATAGAACATGGGAAAAAAATTTTGAACATAGGAATTTTGAACTCAGGCGGAAAAATTTAGAACATAAGAAAAAAAAAATTAAAACATAGGAAAAAAAATTACAACATACATAGGGAAAAATATTAGAATAAAGGAAAAAGTTTAGAACATAGACAAAAAATTTAGAAGACAGGAAAAATCTTAAACATATATATAGAATGTAAGGGAATTTTTTTTTAAAATAGGAATATAAACATAGGAAAAATTATTTAGAACATAGGTAGAAAAAATATTTTGAACATTTTTTAGAAGATTGAAAAAAAAGCTTAGAACATAGGGTTGAATTACAGTGCATTAATCGTTGGGCATGCTAAAACCTATTAGCTCAAATGGTAGAGCACTATGCAGATGCATAGAGATGCAGGTTCGATTCCTACATAGGTTATCTCTAAAAATAACCAAAAAAGATCATAAAAAAATTAAATAGGACTAAGTTATATGAACAAAAAATGCCTATGGAAACTATGTTACAACAAAACTCTTAAACATACACTTGTCTCCACATTACACAAATCAACCTACGTGGGATTCGAACCCACATTTTTTGTGCATTTGCACAATGCTCTACCCGTTGAGCTAGTAGGCTAATGTATATAAAATATTAAAATAAATATAAATCTCGAGCTTACCTAATGTATCAAATTATCTTTCAAAAAAAAAGAATGTATCAAATTAAAAATAATATAAGCAATTGTTGGACAATAAAAGAGTGGCCATGTTCGAGTTTACATCATGTGACTTCAATTTTTACCGGTGAATGATATTGACAAGGTTTAGATTGAAATTTTAGACAATCATGAGATTCATGACAGTAAAAACATGTCTAAATATTTAGCTTTGTATGTGTCATTAACTCATTATCACTTTATCATCAAATCACCCTGCTAGCAATAGCATCAGCTTAGTCAATAGGGAAGGTCGCATTCAGAAAGTTCCCAATTATCATTATCAAAATCATCATCTTCCTTCTTTGTAGTATTAATATTATTCTATTTTGTAACTCTTGGTGGGAAAATAAATAGAGACATGAACACAAAAACCATCACATACAAAATCCCATCACATCAACTAATATATAGTATACCACACTTACACAAGCACGAATATATAAAAAAAACCATGGGTAAATTTTAGAATATAGTTGGAAAAATTTAGAACATAAAATAAAAACTTTAGAACATGTAAGCAAACTTTAGAACATAGGAAGTAAACTGAAATTAAAGCATTAAAAACAACTAAAATTACCCGAATGAGTAACAGGGGAAAAAGGAGAATCATGTTCTAAATTTTTTCTTATTTTCTAAATTTTTTTTCCAACGTTCTAAATTTTTTCCTATGTTCTAATTTTTTTTTCCTATGTTCTATATTATTTATTGTGAAAATGGAAGAATTTTTTTTGATACCTATATTCTAAATTTTTTTCCTATGTTTTACAAAAGAACCTACGTGGGATTCGAACCCACATCTTATGTGCATTTGCACAATGCTCTCCCGTTGAGCTTGTAGGCTAATGTATATAAAAGCTTTAAACTACAAAAATTACTAAAAACTAAATAAATAAAAAAATCTCAAAAGTAAATTATGCATAAGCAGGTTACGACAAAGAAATAGAAATGACTAGCTGAACATATGCAATGATATTTTAGAACACATGCAATAAAAGTTTGAACAACGTACCAATAATAATCGAAAAAATTGATTATATTCTTTAGAACATAGTAAGATAACTTTAGAACATAGATTGAAAAACTTTAGAACATATAAAGAAACTTTAGAACATAAGTATTAAATCCACCATTGCTTTGTTCTAAATAATTTAGAACATACTAAACTAATTTACAATTTACATAATTCATTTAGAATTTTTGAAATTACATAATTAGCTGCAAAACACAATAGTCAGATTACATTTTGCACGGATCTACAATAAATTATGGAAAACTGAAAAAAGTTCTAAGCTACACAAGTCTCAGCCTCGGGGTACTACAAGACAAGTACCTTCACAACACCAACATGTCTATCTGCACTACTGACATGAACAATAAAGATCCCTCTTCACAAATTTTGGGTCACACTAATAAAGAACTTCAGGAGTTGCATAAAAATAAAAATAAAAATAGAACAGCAGCTATTGTCTTTGATCGCTAGATGAAATATTGAAATGCATAAAACAATTAAGCTACCATGAGTCGCTATGCATAACAGATTAACACCACCAAAACACCAACCACATCAAAATACACAAGCACATGTTAGTCTGGGACTAAGGATCTTGCCTCTTAGGCGCTTAGCATCTCAGGAGGAACTATTGATTAAAATTAACATTGCAAACCATTTCAAACACTATGATCATCGAACATTGAAATATCCAAAAATGCTCCCAGCACGTCAATTAAAATCATGTCCAAAAAAAACTAAGATATACAATTGAAACTTAATATTCAAGCTACATAGTTTGGAGTGTTTTCCAACAATTAGAGACAAGAATCGAAACACCATAAGAACCCTTTCACAAAATAACACCACTCACCAGGCTCCTGGTGGAATCCATCAACATCACTTATGACCCAAACATACCATTAAACTAGCCGCCAGCAAACATCAACCTTAAACTTAAACAATAGAGGTCCAAGGAAATTACTAAATTTTTCCTATGTTCTAAATTTGAAATACATCAACCTTAAGAAGAAGAGGAAAAAAAAAATTGATAGGATGAACAGCCATATAATCGAACACATATGTATGATGAAATCGCAAAAAATCAAACTGGTGAAATCGCAAAAATTGAACTAATTAATTCGAACAAAATCAAAAGATGAAATCGCAATTAAAAAAAAAAATTCGATATGAGGCTGATAATCACAATAATAATCCAAATTAGCAATCATAATCACAATAATAAAACAACGTACCAATAATAATCGAAAAAATTGATTATAATCGCAATTTTGTTGAAAAGATCCGTAAAAATACAAAGATTTTCGGCTAAAATAACAAACACAAATTTAGCAAAATAATTGCAATTAAAAGAAACTGAAAAGTGATCGGAAAAAAAATCGCAAATAAACACCAGAAAATCGAAAATATGATGAAAGAAACGAATAGTTTTGCAAAATATATAATTGCAAACTCAGCACAAATATTCAACATATATAATCGGAAATTGAAAAATAAACAAATGCTAAGAAACCATACATCCAAAATAATCGAAATATACAAAGAAATTTGATCAAATTGATAAACTTACAATGATTTACGGCATAATCACAGGAAAAATAGGAGAGAGAAAGCTTGGAAAATTAGGAGAGAGAAAAATATAGGAGAGAGAAAATGTTGGGGTCATTGAAATGTGAATGAGGAAGAAAGAAAGGGACTTAAGGGAGTTAAAAAACATGATATTACAAAAATGCCATTATACTAAGGGCAATTTCAGCGGTTGATTAAATCTCATCCTACGGCCCAGATGGGTTCTTATATAAAATGAGTTCTTATATAGAAGAGGGTTCTTATATGAGCCTTCCTCTATATATATATATATATATATATATATATATATATATATATATATATATATATATATATATTCTTTCAATCGATCTAAATTTATTTATTTAGTCTTATTAACTGTTGCCTTGAATAAGACCTTATACACAAACTTTTTATAAAATCAAGAATAAAAATTGTTCATCAAAGGTAAAAATCATACATAATAAAAAATTAACCGTATTAGCAATTATAAAACATTTTCTTATAAAATTACCTTCTAACTTATAATAAAAATTATTGTTGATTTTAGTTACCCTGAACCAGGCATCTAATTGACAGATGTAACGAAAGTTAATGTAAATTGGGTGTGTACCCAAAAGGTTTTATTATCATTATACTAGTGCATTGTATCTAAAGATATCTTTACATTTCACATCTAATACTCTGCTGGTAATTAAATCATATGCATATCGCATAATATATTCAAACAAAGTAACAAATCAACAATATAATCAAATTAATTGACAGTTCAGCAAAATAAAACTTAATCTCTTTCCCTTATTTTTTATGAACTAAAATTATTTTTATTAAACATAAATCATTTAAAATGAAATTAAAATACTTTGTTGAACTTTAATGATTTTACAAAAAATAAATTATTTTAATTCTTAAAAACTATTATTACTGGGCTTGACAAAAATAATTTATTTTCAATATAACTACAAGCCAAACGACAAGAATAATTTCTATACAACATATCTTCTAAATAATTTAAAAAAAAAAACTATAATAATGCATTGATATATAGAATCATTTATTAATTTACAATTAGAGGCAATGGAAAAATCAAAACATATATACAATGAATAATAAAAACTAAGATTAGAGATGCTCATACATTTCCATTTTTCATAATTTTCGATAGAGTATAAATTCAATATATTCCTAGGCCTCAGCCATCAGTTTAAGTTTTTGGTTGAATTGACTCAGCGTGACACAAAGGTCACGGGTTCGAATCTCATCCACCCCTTCTTCCAAAGTGGAGGCGCATGTTGTACCCACACTTCAAGCCCAACGGGCTCACGTGTGAAAGGGCGTGAGAGAGTATAAATTAAACATATTGGTCCTTTAACAATTTCAATCATTAAAAGAGATCAATTTGAAGAACAATAAAGACCATTTTTAAAGTATAAAAGACAAGACATCAAATGAAGGTAAAAAGGAATTAAAATTAACACTTGCTACAATTTATTCCATTAAAACCTTGTGCTTTAGAAAATTTAAAAGACATGAATAAATAAGACTACAATTTAAAATCAAGACTGCATTTGAATTAATCAACAAACAAAATTAAATGTGTGAATTGTGGCTACACCTAAAATAATAGACTTGTTCTATTATCAAGCATTAGGATTAGGAAGGTGATTAATAACATTATTTACCCTCCTTGGTAACTCTAATTCGATATTCAATAGTCTTAATTTTATCCTCAATCACCCAAAGCAAGTCCCCTAAATCAGAAGAGTTGATCTCTTTAAGTGTTGATTTTCCATTCAAGATATCACTCACCATTTTCCCAACCTCTATTTCACGATTCTTCTTTTTAAGCTTCAATAGCTTATCCTCAACCTTTTTTATACTTTCACTCAAGAAAGTTTCTTGGTTGAATTTCCTTTGGGATTGGTAAACCTCCGGTTTTCTCTTAAAGTCAGAGATAATCCTTTTGGCTTCAACCTCAGATGGAGGCCACACTATCGGACCTTCCTCATTTGGCCCGTAGATGATAGTACAAGCATCCACGCCACACAAAACACTTAGTTCCTCAGTCTTTTTTATTAAGCCTTGCACTCTTTTTTTGTATGTTGCTCTTCTAGTAGAGGCATTTTGTATGAATGCTAGATTTACTTTTTTTCTAGCCATTTTTAAAATGAAGATGGGAAAGCTATAAGGTAGATGGAATCAATTGGGGTTTTGTATTGATAAATAGATAGGATGAATGATATAAGGCCTAAGGGGAGGGGTATATATATATATAGGGATATGTTAATTATCTTTTTCAAAAAATATTAGTCAAACATGATATTTTTTTTAATCTATTTTGATTATGTATCTTATTAAGTGATACTGTAATCACATTTAATGATTCTGTAATTATATAATATTGCATTAACAGCACATAATTAGGTAATTATTAGTGCAATTATTACGCTCTTCCTTTCATAATAATTAAAACGCTTTGACTATTATCATAACTTTTACTTTTAATATGTTTAATTAGATAAGTATTAGTAAAATAAATAAATTTTGACTTATAACACCACCAAAAAGCTCAAAAATTGATTACAACACCAAATAATAATAAAAAAAATTTAAAAAAAAATTAAAAAAAAATTATTATAACACCACAAAAAAGAATTCAAAAATTGGATTTCACCACCACTTAATAAATTACTAGATGGAATCCGTTAAGCGGGGTCCACGTGTCCTTATCCGTAACCAACCTTAGCTCCCCCACCGCTACCTGAACCGAAACCGTCACCCCTACCCCCACCTTATTAGCCGAAAACCACAACCCTCACCCTCACCCCCACCCAAGTCACCAACACCACCATCAGCCCCACCCCATCCAGAATCGAACCCCCCTCCACCCAGATCCGAATTCGAAACCCCAACCCTTGCCCTCTCACCCTCACACTTACCTGAATCCAAACCCACACCTAGAAATCGAAACCCAAACCCTCGCCCTTACCTGAACCCAAACCCGCATCCAGAAATCGAAACCCAAACCAAATCAGGAATCGATTTGTGGCTGGGATTTGGGGTTTAAGCTATGAGTGAGGGGTGTTTCGAGTCGGTGTGTGGGTTGGGGTTGAACTTTCAGTTTTAGGTTTGGGTGGGACGGGGACATACTCTGGTGACCGGTGGTGGGGATGGGGTACAGTGGCTGGGTTTAATTTTGTGGTGTTTAGATTTTTTTTTTCTTTTTTTAACCAACAATATGTTGACACGTGGCAGTGTGGACCCCACTTAACATATTTTATCCAAGAATCCATTAAGTGGTGGTGAAATCAAATTTTTGGATTTTTCTTTGGGGTGGTATAGTACAACTTTTGGATTTTGTGGTGTTATAATCCATTTTGTGACAATTTTGTGGTGTTATAAGTCAAAAAATCCTAAAATAAAAGCTTAATTTTCAAATCAGATACATTAAGATAATCCGACGTCTTAATTATTAATATTTTTTTTATACTATAAAAAAAAGATGGCCAATGATATAACAAATTAAAGTAAATATTTGTCAATTTTTATGAAATGAATGAAATATAATTTTGCGCAATTAAGTTGGATTTTTTATGAAATATCAATTTTCAAAGTGGGGGAAGGTCAATAAGATTAACTAACAAATAACGTTTAATTTTTAAATATAATGTCATACATACGTTATTAAGAACTTGAAAGTGCAATTGGTACTCAAGAAAGGGGGTTGAATTGAGTATGGTAGCTGTTTCAGGGTTTTCTGATGTCCTGCGGGAGAGTTACAATTCCGAGACTGGAACCGGACGCCTGTACCTGCAAAATAACGGAGACTCCTGGGAGCTCCGCCTCCAACGGTCAAGTTAGTACCTGATTAAGGAGTAATTAACGCGGAAATTAAAGTAATAAGGTCTCTCTAAGTGAGAGTGTTTAATGTAGGTAATCTGCTTTGTTAGCGTGATCAGCCGGTTATTAGTGTGTTCCGTAATGTTTCTGTTCTGTCCCCCCCCTTAATGAGGATTAAGGGAGATATTTATAACCTTGGGAAACGTGCCCATCCTAGGTTTAGGTAAACCTAGGGCCGATTGGGCTTCCCTCGGAAGTTGGGCCTGGGTGGCCGGTTTTCCCATTTGGCATGGGTGGACACGTGGCGTGTCTCAATTGGTCCGTAGAGGACGTATCTGTGATTGACACGTGGCAGGCTCCTATTGGCCTACGTGGAGGACACGTGGCGGAACCTGGTTGGTCCACTTGTTAGACGGTGATTGGTGGATAAAAATCCCCTAATCATTTGCCCCTCACAGGTGGCACGTGACTGGTCACGTGTCACCTGTGACAGGTGCCGCACGGTGACAGGCGACGGCCTGCTACAGGTGTCACCTTGCAAATGGCCGAGAGATTTTCCCGCCCAAATTTTGAATTTGGAAGCGACCCTTCGTCTTCTCACTTTGCCTATATAAGGAAGTGCTGACTTCGGTCATTTTCACATTTGAGAACTTTGCGAGAACATTCGGACCCCTGAACTTGCTCTGACATTTCGGACCTTTTCTGCCTACCGCCTATTCTGACAAGCCGACTGCACAGGATTTTCAGAACTTCATCAACCGTCACTCGTTCAGGTAACTGTCAGTTCTCTTACTCTTAATTTTTCTTTTTATTTTTTGAAATGGCACCACGGAAGCACACGACACGACCTAAGTTAGTGATCAGCCGGTCACCGGGGACGGCTGAATCTAGGACTAGGAGTGCCGCCTGCCCTTTTCTGGACCCATCTTTGCCCTTTATACAAAGTCCGACTGTATCTGTGTCTATGCAGAACGTGATGGCCAGAACAAAAAAGACTGCTATGATCTCAAACTCGGACGGCTCCCCCCAAAGGGTGCTCATTAGTGAAACATCTGACCAGGCGCCAGATGTAGAAGTGAAACGAGGCGGCTGCCAAGCCGACAGTTCTGAGGGAGGGGTCAAGGTGGTCCCTTCCCATTTCACCGTTGATATGTCTAATTTTCCTCCTGCTCCTTCTAAGGGAGAGGAGGCGGGCCCCTCTGGGAGAGGGGAGGAGTCGTCCTCTTCGGACTCGTCAGAGGACGAGTCCGAGTCCAGCTCTTCTGGCCACGCTTCTCCAGGCTCAGAAGAAAGAAACAGCCGCCTACAAGAGGCGAGGCTTTCTCATGTAGTTGAGAAGGGGGGCAATTGGGCGGAGCCGTCCGCCTCTTACAGAGAGGAAAACACCCCCTACTACTGCACGGTACCCCGGGGCCGGATCGCAGCCATGCAAGACAAAGTGGAGAGCTTTATAGCTAACCACAGAATGGGCCCCGGATTTTTACTGTTCGTGCCGGATCCAGAAGACACTGTCGTCTGGCCGGCTGGTACCAGCTATGATGACGGCTGCTTTGGCTGCTATGTGGCGGCCATCAAAGCTGGACTGCGCTTCCCATTACATCCGGCTGTTCAACGGATTTTAGATGGGTATGATTTGGGGTTATGGCAGTTAGCCCCCAACTCTTGGGTAAACGTACTCGGCTATGTGGCCGGGTGCGAAATGTACGGGGTGAAGCCAAGCTTTGAGGCTTTCGCCCATATGAACTATCTCAGCCGGACCCCTAAGTCGGGAGGTACCGGCTGGTATCAAGTAACAAGCCATAGGGGCTACCTCATGACGAGAGGTAAGGCGAACAAATGGAAGGATTGGCGGAACACCTTCCTTATCATCGAGGGTTCAGACACGGAGCTGAACAAACGCTTTAACAAGTGGAATAGGGATCCGCCTCTTCTCGCAGGCGGCCGCAGCATGCCGCCTGTTCCCCCAAAGGCTAAAAAAGAGATCCTAGACAAAGGACTCTTCAAAGTAGAGACTAGGGTGAACTCTACTTCAGGGGTACGAGAGCAAGTACCCCTAAACTGCGTCCCGAGCTTCAAGTGGCTCTATGACGAGTACTTTTTGGCCGCCTGTGGCCTCAGCAGTCGGTGCTCTAGAGGTAGCCGGCCTGACAAATACTCTGTTTTTTCACGCCTTGTTTACTTGGGATTTTTACTAACTTTGCTGTTTATTTTTTGCAGCTGACGCCATGAGTAAAATAACAGCATCCAAGACTGCGGCGGCCATGTTGCGGGCCTCTCTCATGCAACAGTCTTGTACCGACTCCCCCAACAAGGGGGCACCCTTGGTAGGCTTCGAAACTCTTCCTCTTTTAGGAGTTGTCTTATGCATATACTAACTCTCTCTTTTTTTTTTTTTTTTTTTTTTCAGTCGGGCACTCCAAGAGCTTCTTCCTCGCAACAGCCGGACCCCAAGGCCCGGAGGACGACTGTTGCAAGCTCTCCTGGGTCTTCCAGGAAAACAGTGGCGGCTGAGAAGCAGCCGGCCACTTCTTCTAAAACTCCGGCGGGGCCGCCTAGAAGTATGGACAATTACTTGTAAAAACTTTTACACTTGCTTCCTTCTTGACTAGGTCTAACTTGCTTTTTTACGCTTGATGCAGCCGGCCCTTAGGGGCCTGACTTGGTAGAGGTAGCCAAGTCCATGATCAAAGTAGTTCCTCCATCTGAAAGGGAGGCGGTCAGGGGTGTCGGCACCCTTGACCTTGATGGGATTGCAGGGGTCCTTGCTGAGGTATACTTTTTGAGTATTTGAATTCCAGGACGCCTGTTATCTTTTTTGTTTGGAAACTGACGCCTATTTTTTTTTGTACTTAGGCCCTGCTCCGAGTTAACGGCCTTCGCAAGCCGCTTGATCGGAAGAACAAGGAGGTAAAGGCTGCAAAAGCTATGGCCGCCTCTGACTGTGATAAGGCAATGTTTCAAATTGCCCAAAATGAAGTACTGACCATTGATATTCTTTATTATCAGGCGCAGGCTACCGCCGCTGTTCGGGCTCAGTTAGAGGCGGCCCAGAAGAAGAATGACGAGCTGGAGGCGACCATCACAAATCTTAAGGCCGAGCTGAAACCTCTTCGCCTAAAAATGTACTCTTACGAAGCCATGGAGAAATCCTTGGCAAGCGTAAAAGAACGCCTGGTGAGCCAAGAGAAGAGTCTTACCCAAGAGCTCTCGGAAAAGGCCGAGCAAGAGAAGAAAGAGCTCGTCCGGGAGATGATGGAAGACTCCGCTCAAATCCAGCGCATGACCTGGGGCCGCCTGTTCCCCAATGCCGACTTTGCCTCTTGGGAAAGAACGTACCGCCAGTGTTCGGAAACATATAATCAAGAGAT